TGTAAAAATATATTCTTGGTGTGGTGGTACAAAGCAGGAGGAATGGGAGTTCAAGGTCATCCTTAGATTCAGAGAGTTTGAGATCTGCCTGAACTACATGAGATACTTCCTCAAAAAACCAAACAACACCACAACTCCATATATATATGCACATATATATACACACATATACATATATATGTACACATACACATATACATTTTAAAACAAAACATAAAAATAACCAAGACAACATGTCACACATTTCAAAGATTTCAATCCTGGGTTGAGACCAAGAAATAAAGTCCACGAGTTCTTTTTTTGTTTTTTCGTCACATTCTAAATGAATAAAAACAAGACAAAGGCAAATGGAAATTAGACCTAGAGGTTGTGTCACAATGCAGGAGCTCATGAAATACAGTTTTTAATTATCTACCTGTCTCATTCCAAAATATGGCAGTGTTCAGGTCTTAGAGAGTACTTAAACTGAGATCAAACAAGGCACCCTCTCTATTCCCAATTTCAAGAGCTTCCATCTAAGCTTTCTTTATTATATTTTCACCACAGTTTCCCAGAAAGGGTTGCAGAGCTTAGAGAAGTTAAAAAGTAATAAAATGCAAGGGTGTGGGAACCCCTGATATGCACCGCTTTATATCTGTTCTCTTGGGCAAGGCCAAGTTGCTGGAGGAGGAGCGTTCCTGGGCACAGTTGCCAATGTTGCAGACTGGCAGAGAGGGCATGGCAACTGCAAGTATCTTTGTAAACTGGGTCTTTCTCTGGCTGTGCTGCCCATGGTCAGACTGGCCCTCTGGAAATACCTCCCTTAGACCATGGGCTCTTTAAGGGTGGAGACAACAGCTTTGATTTTTTTTTTTTTTTTTGATATGAAGCAAAGCGCTGTTCTTTATACACAGCCTCTGTTGCAGTGGCCTTTGTGACAAATAAGCACCAAGAAGTCTAGTCCAAGTTGTCACTTGTGTGTTTCTTAGAATCAGTGGTATTTCAAATACTGGAGATTTCCAGTGGTTAAGGATTTGTTGTGCAAAAGGATGCCTGTGTCTCCATGTGGGAAACAGAAGGGCAGAGAACCAGGAGGTTAATGGCAGAAGCCACAGATGCAAAGTGCACAGGAGCCCAGAGCTTATCAGGAGCCTGTGTTCATAGCAGGGAGGGCTACATACACCCTCCTCTCTTCTGTCTGTTTTCCTTTTCATTGCAAATGTTATTTGATAAAAGCAATTACATTAATTTCCTTCCCTATGGGCTCAATTCTTACTTTTTTCTTTTCTTTTCTTTTCTTTTTTTTTTTTGACATGATGATTTGGAGGAATAATTAGGCTTACTCAGTACAGGAAAAACACCTACCCAACTGTATACCTGTGAGTGCTGACCTCAGCCAGTAAAGCTGAGGAGATGCCTGGAGCTGGCAGATGCTGATGGCTCTGTTTGCCTACAGGTCGAATCCTGGGATCTGGTGCATTTGGGAAAGTAGTTGAAGGAACAGCCTATGGATTAAGCCGGTCCCAGCCTGTTATGAAGGTAGCAGTGAAGATGCTCAAACGTAAGTGCTACTTCCTGGGATGTCTTCAACATGGGGATATTAAGCGGTAGCAAATTTAATATTAGATCCTGATTCTGTGGACTTAGGTTTTGTGTATATTTAGGCTATTTTGTCAATTAGGTTTGATTTGCTCTTATCCCTCATATGTTGAAAAATCAGTTATCATTTGTAGTGACCTTTTTTTACTTTAAAGACTAGGGACTAGAGAGATGACTCAATGAGTAGTGTTTGCTGTGCAAATAAGACCTGCATTCTCCTCCAGTACCCATGTAAGAAGCCAGGCATGGTGATGTACACCTGTAACCCCAATACTGATGGCGTGGTGGTGGGGGCCAGGCAGAGACAGGCAAATTCTGGAAGCTCAATGGTCAGCCAGCCTGGTCAAGTCCACAAGCTCGAGGTTCAGTTACAGACCCTGTCTCAAAGTATACGGTGGAGAGACAACTGAAGAACATCCTGATCTCAACCTCTGACCTCTATACATGCCTCCATAAGCAAGTGTACCTGCCCATACATGTGCCTGTGCACGCACGCACACACACACGCACACACACACACACACACACACACACACACACACGAGAGAGAGAGAGAGAGAGACTAGGGGCCAAGGGGTCTTTTTTAGACTCTGGTAAATAAAATGATATTGAATCACAAAATTAGATGCATTTTCATCTTTTTCTGAGAATGAAGAGTAGGTAATTCAATTGAACTTGAAGCATGGTTTATTTCAACAGCCACAGCCAGATCCAGTGAAAAGCAAGCTCTCATGTCTGAGCTGAAGATAATGACTCACTTGGGACCACATTTAAACATTGTGAACTTGCTGGGAGCCTGCACCAAGTCAGGTAGGTTTGCTGACCTGGGTTGAGGGTATTCTGGGAATGTCTGTGGCTGTGGAAACTGTTGAACCAGTTTCAGATAACCTCCCACCTCAAACATGACTGTGAGTATAAAGCTCTTCAGTGGAGTCCTCTGGTTCCATTGAATTCTTGAAGTCCATTGGTTCTGAGCAATTTATTTTCCCAGTCTGAGAAATTCATGACTTTGTTTCCATCTCCATATCCATCTCCTGACTGGTTTTGGTCCCCACAGGCCCTATTTACATCATCACTGAGTACTGCTTCTATGGGGATTTGGTCAACTATTTGCATAAGAACAGAGATAGCTTCCTGAGCCGACACCCAGAGAAGCCAAAGAAAGAGCTGGACATCTTTGGATTGAACCCTGCTGATGAAAGTACAAGGAGGTGAGTGCAAAGGGAGGCTCCAGTGTCACTGTCACAAGCCTCGCAGATGGACAGAAGCATGCTGACAGACTCTGGGGCACAAGTCTTTGAGCCTATCTAGCCACCCGTGTCAGTGTAGGTGGATACATACCCACAGGTGTTTTGATTGGAACATCACATGGGAAGGTCAGACGATAGGTTTGAACAGAGCTGGGATCATTCTGAGCCATTCTGCTGTGATATGCGATTCCTTAGGATGTGTAAATGCAACTCTGACCAGGGACACCTGAGATTTTTGTGCCTCATGAGTAACTGTTGGAGGATCCCTAAGTTTGAGCTGTTGGTCTTTGTTGAACCTGGGCCAATGTTATTGATCTCTATTTTTTAAAATTATTATTTTTATTTTATGTGTGTGAGTGTATTGCCTGCATGTGTGTAAGTGCACCCATGTCATACAATGACCATGAGGTCAAAAGAGGGCTTCCAATTCCCTGAAACTGGAGTTAGAGACAGTTGTTAGCCACCAGGTAGGTGCTGGGAATTGAACCCAGCTCCTCTGCAAGAGCAGTCAGTGCTCTTAACCACTGAGCCATCTCTCCAGCCCCTGTTCTCTGCTTTTAAAACCTACAAGTTGGCTGGGTGTGGTGGCACAAGCCTTTAGTCCCAGCACTTGGTAGGCAGAGGCAGGTCACAGAATGACCTCCCAGATTGTCATTCTCTGTGAGTTCAAGGTCAGCCTGGTCTACAAGTGAGTTCCACACCACTTGGGGCTACAGGAAGACCCTGTCTCAAAACAAACAAACAAACAACAACAAAACAAAAACCAAAACCCTATAAGTAGTTGTAAAGAATATAGGTAGGAAATTCTGCTGGATGTTGTGGCAAGTATGGTAGCACACACTTTTAATCCCAGCACTTGGGGGGCAGAGGCAGGCAAATCTCTGTGAGATTGAGGCCAGCCTGGTCTACATAGTGAGTTCCAGGCCAACTGGGGCTACAGGGAGACCCTGTCTCAAACAAAACAAAACAAACAAACAAACAAACAAAAAAAACCCCAAAACAAACAAACCCAAAACCCCCAAACAAAACAAGACAAATATTCAATGTAATGGACTCAGAACATTGTGTGAGTCTGTGGGACCATAGTCCCTGTCTTCTGAGTATCTCTCCAGAATGTTCTGCTCCTTCTGAGGCTGTATAAAAGAGTGACACTGAGGATGAATAAGTAAAAAATAAAGCAGAATCACACAGCAGCTGACAGTGATGGAGCCCAGCTGTTCCTATAATGTTTCTCATCTATCTAAACGAGACTCATTTAGCAGGCTCTCTAGAAAAGTGCTTGCTCCCTCCCAGATGGTCGTTTTCCTTCCAAACCATGGGAACCGTCCCTCCTTCCCAGCACACCTGGGTTTGAGATGACCCATGCGTTTGTGATTGATTAATGATCGTCTGTCTCCCCAGACCTCCCCATGTGCACTGCGCACATGGTGTTTGCTTTTGCTTGGCCCTGCAGCCTGCATGCTTCCCTCTTACTGGCACGCTGTAGGTACCCAAACCACCATGTGTCTAGCCATCCACTGAGTGACTGATTCAGAGGCCACCTGGGGTAAGATTTCTTTGTTTGTTTTTACAGTTATGTGATTTTATCTTTTGAAAACAATGGTGACTACATGGACATGAAGCAGGCTGATACCACACAGTATGTCCCCATGCTTGAAAGGAAAGAGGTTTCTAAATATTCAGACATCCAAAGATCGCTGTATGATCGTCCAGCCTCCTATAAGAAGAAATCTATGCTAGGTAAAATAGTTTGTACCCACTCTGGCAAATGTGATCTTCTAGTGGTGTAACATGATACTTAACATACTCAGAGGAAGGGAAACCAGGGTCAGAAGTAGATCTGCCAGACTATGTGATTCCCTAAGTGCAGACCTGCTCAACTGGGCCTATGGCATCTTTTTGTAGGTTTGTGGATGTGAATAGAGAAGGACAGGGGTAAAGAATGTAGGTCAGTAGTCCAGTGCTTGCCTAGCATGAACAAGGTCTTGGGTTCATTCTCTAGCATTGAAAAAAACGCACATAGTAAAAATAATACAAATAAAGACAGCTTCTCAAATGTTAAATGTATTTACTTTAAATAAATAATTCCTTGTGTTCTAATCACTTTTTCTTGTTTACATGTCTTTTTTTTATGAAAGTATGGTGATAGTTGGTGGGTTTATTTTCAATGCCCTTGCATGGCAAAATTGAAAGTTGGCAGCCTTATGTTGTTTTCTCTTAAATTTCATAAGACTCTTATATCTGTGAGTTCAAGCTTCCTTAACATCCAATTTGTGATAAAAACTGGAGAGTAGACAGTTTGAGGTTATATTTTATGACAAGTGTTTCTATTGACTTTTGTTTGAAAGCAGATCCTTCTGTTTTGAAAACAGAAGCGTATGTGGTGGAGATGAATTGATTTGTAAACTCCAGGGTGCCACGTGGCGATGCCACACCAGATGGACCACCTCACGTTTGCTTGAGGGAGGCCACTCCAGGGCTCTTGTCTAACCACAGAATTAGAGTAGGCGGTGGGTAGGTGGATCTGACCTTCGCTTTTCCTGTCACCTTGTTTTTTTGGGTTTGAGCCTCTCATTGGCTGATACAAAAAAAATGTACAGCTGCTATGGAAATTGTTTTGAAAAATCATTAATGTGTTCTGAATGCTTTGAGAGTTCATAAGTGAAGGGTACACCCATTTAAAAAAAGTACGCTTGTTTTGCAAAGCTCAGCGCACAATAATATTTTCCATATTTGCAGCTCCATTCACTTCACATTGCCAAATGGGTGAACTTCCAAGCGTTTCTTAAAGCTTATCCAGCCAGAGCTATCGGAACCAGCACTTCCTTTCCCTCCCATAGCTAAAAATAGTTTACGTTGCTTCCCAGGCAGAGCTGGTGGACTTGGCACCAGATGTCAGGGGGACCTGAGTCATGCTCAGGCCTAGGTCCTGTTGGCAGGCAGACCACAGATTTCTGGCTTTTTCATAACTGGCTGGGAAAAATATGAATGGCTGGAGCTGCTTTTTGCTGGCCTGAAAATTCTCAAGAAGGACTAGGAACTGCTGGCCTAGAGTGCCTCTGTCCTCAAAGACTCTGGGGCCCTTCCAGATGGGATGAACTGGAGAAAGTGGGCAAGTTGTGAGGGAGTGTGGCGAATCATTGGCGCTGTGCTTTAAGACAGATACTTAGTCTGCTTGGTAGTTGACTTCACTGACAAATTACACACAAAATACAAAGAAAATAAAGCAAAATACAAAGGAAAAAAACGACTTTTTTTCCTCCCATGGGTCCTTGCATATATTTATCATTGGGGATTTTAGTGTGTATGTGTATGTGAGTTTTAAAGATGACTGAGGTGATTGTAAAGCAAGGTAGAAAAAACGAAATCTGGAGTACAAACAGAAATCTGTGAGAACCTGTGGAGGAGACTGGTTTAAATTAGTCATTATGGCTGTATAAACACACACACACACACACACACACACACACACACGTATGTGTTTGTACGTGTGGATTGAGGATCTCTTATTTGAAATGCTTGGAACCGACTGTGTTTTGAAATTTTTTCAGATTTTGGAATATTTGCATATACATAATGAGATATCTTGGGGATGGGAGCCAAGTCCAAACTCAGAATTCGTTTCTGTTTCATGCACACCTCATACACATAGCCTGACAGTAATTTTATACAATATTTTTTTAGTGTGCCTGTGTTTTGACTGCGATCTGTCACATGAAGTCTGGTGAGGGATTTTCTACTTTTGGCCTCATATTGATGCTAAATAAGTTTTTCGTGTTTGGAGCATTTTGGATTCATATTTTTGGGTCAGGAATGCTCAACCTTTCTGAAGAAAGAACTGTTTCTTCCTATTTGTTTATGATACTGGAGATTGAACATGTGCCTCATGCATGCTGGGCAAGTGCTCTACCACTGAGCCACATCTTCGTTGCATAGTTTTTGTATCCTCCTGTGCAGTCTAGAAACTATGAGAAAATGCTTTTGGAGGCCTTTGGATAAGTCTGTGACCTGCCAGCCCAGTGGGAGTCACAGTGGTGGGGGAGGTCCCATGCTTTCGGCCAGCACCAACGCCTTTAAATTCTTTTCCACAGACTCAGAAGTCAAAAATCTCCTTTCAGATGACTCGGAAGGCCTTACTTTGCTGGATTTGTTGAGCTTCACCTATCAAGTTGCCCGAGGAATGGAGTTTTTGGCTTCAAAAAATGTGAGTTCAGGGAACAGAGACCTCTTCAGACCCAGCCATAGATTCAGAGGGATGGGATAGTGGAAGGAACTGCCAGGAGGGGGATCTTGGAGTGGCAGGCACAGTGGTCTCTGTTACCTACCTCTCTCTCTCTCCTAAACAGGCTGGGGGGTCCCATGTTGCTGGGTGTCTACTTTTCTCCAGAACTTTTTGTCCCTCAGGAGGCGTCAAGAGGGGGAGGGCAAACTCTCTGCTAGGGTGCTTTTCTAAGCTGCCAGAGCAGCTTCAAGTGGTACCATGGAGTAGCCAGTTTTACAAGAGTTCTGTTGCCTGGCCTTAGCTGGATCCATCCTGAAGTCATTTCTTCCCTTCCTATGCAGTGTGTCCATCGGGACTTGGCTGCCCGCAATGTCCTCCTGGCGCAAGGGAAAATCGTGAAGATCTGTGACTTTGGCCTGGCCAGAGATATTATGCATGATTCAAACTACGTGTCAAAAGGCAGCGTACGTCCCCTCTGCCCTTGTTGGCATGCTTATTCTCTCTCCCTTTAATCTTAAAAAGTCAAGTGTTGCTTCTTAATTCAGCAGCCACATTTTAAACAAGGGGTTCATGAGGCTTATTAGTTGGCTCCAGAGGGTTCAGTAGGGAAAGGTCAGGCTTAACAGCTGGATGGCCTAACAGCCAGATGGCCATTCTAGTTCTTTGTCCTGTTCATGCCTCAGTTTCCGTCTATTGCATCACCCATTTCCTGAGTTGCTATGAGGGAGTAAGTCAGGCAGTTCACACAAAATACCTTAGACAGTGCTTGGCATGTAGAAACACCCAATAACTGTTAATTCTTAATGAGAAAATTATGTGCACAAATATACAAGCAAGCATTTCCAAGGAGAATCTCTAGGTCTTTAAAAAAATACCTTATTTATTATTTATATTTTATGCATATGAGTGTATTGCCTGCATGTATGTAAGCGCACCCATGTTCTGCGGTACCTGAAGAGGTCATAAGAGGGCGCTGGATTCCCTGGAACTGGAGTTAGGGACTGCCATTAGCCACCATGTGGGTGTTAGGAATTGAACCTGGGTCCTCTGCAAGAGCAGCCGTTGATCTTAACTGCTGAGTCATCTCTCCAGCCTTGAGAGTCTCTAGTTTTAAAACTCTTATCAGATTTTCAAAAGACAACTTTAACTTTTAAAACATAAAGATTAGATTGGGCGTGGTGGCTCACACTTTTAATCCCAGCCCTTGGAAGGCAGAGAGAGGAGGACCTCTGCGAGTTCAAGGCCAGTCTGGTTTTCAAAGCAAGTTACAAGCTAGCTGGGGCTATAGGGAGACCCAATCTCAACAAAACAAAACAAAACAACAAAAACCACTGAAATCAACATTAAACTAAGTATGAGGAAAGATGATCAAAGAATTTTTTTTCTTTTGGTCTTTTTGAAACAGGGTCTCTCTGTAGCCCCAGCTGTCCTGGAACTCACTATGTAGACCAGGGTGACCTTGAACTCATAGAGATCCGCCTGCCTCTGCCTCCTGAGTGCTGACTGCTTTTACAGAGGACCCAGATTTGGTTTCCAGTACCCACATGGTGGTTAACACCATCTATAACTCCCATTCTAGGGGTCCTATGCCCTCTTCTAGTCTCTGCAGACATTGCACAGCACTGGTGGTCTTACATGTATGCAGACAAAACATTCATAGACATAGACATAAAAATAAATAAATAAAAATTAAAAAAAAATAATCTACCCAGAAGGCTTGGGAAATAGCTCAGTCAGTAATGTGCTTGCTGAGTTTGACCCCTTCCCCCAGAACTCATGTGAAAAGGCCAGATATAATGACCAATGCTTGTGATTCCAGTGCTGAGGATGCAGAGACAGGACATCTCTAGTCAGTCTAGCTACATCGGCAAACCCCAGGCCAGACTTTTCTCAGAAAAACCCCAGACTTTTCTCTTTTTTTGAGATGGTCTCCCTGTAGCCCCAGCTGTCCTGGAACTCACTATGTAGACCAGGCTGGCCTTGAACTCACAGAGATCCACCTGCCTCTGCCTCCCAAGTGCTAGGACTATAGGCATGTGCCACCACGCCCAGCTAACCCCAGACTTTCCTCAGAAAAAAACCCAAGTGGATAATATCTTGAGGAACAACACCTTTGGCCTCTACATGTATACACACGTGCATGAGTACCCACGCATGAACACACATACATGTGTACACACACACACACACACACACACACACACACACACACAAACACATATACACACCCTATTCAGTTTCCAGGCTCTAAAGCAGAGTTGCAAACAGTATATACATGAGAGATATAACACAGACAAGATCTTTAATGCATTATTTGTAGACCAGGGAGGAATCCCTTTTCATTTCTGCTGCTGTAGATATCTGAGCATAGCTTGGAACTCACTGTGAGTGAGTTCATCTCCTTTCTCCTTCCCTGCAGACCTTCCTGCCTGTGAAGTGGATGGCCCCTGAGAGCATCTTTGACAACCTATACACCACCCTGAGTGATGTCTGGTCTTATGGCATTCTCCTTTGGGAGATCTTTTCTCTTGGTAAGGGGCCGGCCTCTCTGCTAGTTTGATTTGTTCTGAACAGCACTGGAAGGGAAATATGTTTGGTCCAGCTACAGGATGTCAGCAGTGTTGATTTGTGCTGTGTGAGCCATGCAAATTGTACCTCACTATCAGCCCTTACATGTCTGATGCTGGCTGAGTAGACCCACAGGGATGTTTGGGGACTGCTCTCCCACCCCTGCGTGTTACCTTTTTTCCTCTCATGGGCCATACCAGAGAAAGTGTTCCCAATAATATCTGCTCTGTGGCTGCCTTTTCATTTTGGATTAAATGGTTCACCAGTAGAATTTCGTCTCCCTCACTTGGCGATTGATGAGCAGGTAAAAAAAATGCCATGGCTAGGAAAGGGGTCATGACCCCTGGTCTGGGTCTTATTTCTGGAGGAGAAAACCTCCTAAGCATTTGGTCAGTTGTCACCAGGGCCAGAATAAGTCAGGTTCCCATGCTGCCAGGTGAGGGTCCCAATCACAAGGTGAAATATATCTATGACCTTGGATGGCTCAAATGGGGAGATATGACTACACACTTAGAGATAAATTGTGTAAATTGTCATGTGGGTCCAGAGAAAGGGAAAAGGATTCTTGGAGCTCCTGAGAGGGAAGTAAACTTGCCCTGCCTTGTCTGATATCCTACTGCTATCACCCCCTGGCCCTCTTTCCTTCCCTCGGCTCCTTTCCATCCTTTCCTCATTCTCCCTCCACAGAGAGTCATCAAGGATCATCTGAGGTCGGGGTTTAACCACGTCTTGCACTCCGTTAAAAACAGGAAATAATCTGCATTTCAGGTCCCAACTTTGACTTTTGCTATGGTTATTTCAACACTTCAGATGAAAATGATTTTCTTGCCTTTAATGTTTTAGAATTTCTCTGTGATTTTTGAGAGTGCTTGTATGTGTAGATCCAGTAATCAGAAACACTGTAAAACACATTAATGCTTTTTTCTAAAGATGCATAATTTTTGCTCAAGATGCTTGGACTTGAACAACCTAGAGTCCTATGTAGATATAACATCTAGAAGCCTTCTGGGGTCAAGGAGATGATAACACACTTTCCTTGGTAGACTCAAGACACCAGGGCTTCAGGATTGCAGGTGTTCCTTCACTTGCCCTGTCACCCAAGTGTTCCAGTAGCGTGTGGTATATGTAGAAGTTTTTGTCATCCGGTTGTGTCTCCTGCTCTTAGGTGGCACACCCTACCCTGGCATGATGGTAGATTCTACTTTCTACAATAAGATCAAGAGTGGGTACCGGATGGCCAAGCCTGACCATGCCACCAGTGAAGTGTGAGTTCACCCCACACCATTCATTGACCCATGAACATGCTTCCAGAATCTGTGGGGGGTGGAGGTGTGGCCAGCATCAGCATGCTCTCCCCTGCTCACTCTGAGTTCTGCCCCTTCAGCTATGAGATTATGGTACAGTGCTGGAACAGTGAGCCAGAGAAGAGACCCTCCTTCTACCATCTGAGTGAGATAGTGGAGAATCTGTTGCCTGGACAATATAAAAAGGTTGGTTTGCAAGGGTGATGGTGGGTGGAAGGCTGTGGCAAAGGAGGAGAGAGAGCGCGTGGTTATGCCAACAAGCAACGCTGTTCAGCTCTGTTTGAAAGGAACCTTTTCAAAGGAGGACACAGACTGTGTGATCCTGTGACAGGGTTTCAGGGAGTGTTCCACAGGACCCAGTAGCAATGATGAATGAAAATCCTCCTCTTCCTGCAGGGCTTGCTTTCATCTTCTGTGTGTGACACCTGTAAGCACTTTATTCTCCAGACATTTGCATGTGTGAAGTCAAACCTCTCAGGACATCCGAGGCCACTAAATCACTGATTTGAATACATTTAAATCCATGTGAAATTGACTTTTACCATCTGACTGGAGGGGACAATCCCAGCTGTTATCTGTGCCTCTGGCTGGTTTTCTGTGGCATAGCAAGCATTGTTCAAAGGAACAAATGTAATTTCATGGGCCCATCAGGAGCTATAAATGAATGGAACAACTTTCTGCCCAGGCCTTGAGAAGGGGACCCAGGCACACTCATGTGATAAATCTTATTTTAGACTAGGCACTGCAGACTAACCTATTTCTCCTTTTCGAGGGGGCAGTATCAGGACTTTGCCTTGAGGCCTCCTGTCATCTGAGTTGAAAGTTCAGTACTTTAATATTGATTGCCTCAGTATTCTTTGTGCCCAGGCTGGGAGCAGGAAGAAGGAAATTTGCTCAGGTTCATCAAAGGTTCTCTGTTGGTGGGAAGATAAACTATTGTTGAAAATAGGGACTTTCTATCTTCTGGCTATTGTGAATAGTGCTGCAATATACATGGATGTGCAAGAATCTCTGTGTATGTTGATTTAGAGTCCTTTGGGTATATATTCAAGAAGGATATAGCTGAATCATGTGGTAGTTCTATTTTCACTTTTAAAATATTTATTTTTATTTTATATGTATCAGTGCTTTCCCTGTATAAGTGCACCACAGGCATACAATGCCCCAGAGGCCAGAAGAGGGCATCTGATCCTTTGAAACTGGAGTTACAGACAGTTGTTAGCTGCCATGTGGGTGCTGGGGACTGAATCTGGGTCCTCTGCAAGAGCAGCCAGTGCTCTTAACCGCAGAGCCATTTCTCCAGTGGCCCCCACCCCCCACTTTTTTTTTAAAGGAACCTCCATGCTGATTTCCACAGTGACTGTTCCACCCCCACCAGCATATCTTTGTCAGCATTTGCTGTCATTTGCTTTCTTGATGATAGCTACTCTGACTGGGGTGAGATGGACTTCAAAGCAGTTTTAATTTGCTTTTTCCTGATGGCTAAGGATGTTGAACACTTTTCCAAGTATTTATTGAACATTTGTGATTCTTCTGAGAACTGTCTATTCAATTCATTAGTCTATTTACTGGTTGGATAATTTTTGTGTATGTTTAATTTTTGCACTTCTTTATGTAGCCCACATACTAATCCTGTCTGATATGAGGTTGGCAAAGGTTTTTCCCCCCATTCTTTAGGCTGTCTTCACTCTGGTGATTGTTTCTTTTGCTGTACAGAAACTCTTACATTTCATTTAATCTCGTTTGTCAATTCCTTTTTTTTAATTATTTTTATTTTATGTGTATGTGTGTATTGCCTGCATGTAGGTAAGTGCATCCATGTTGTGCAATGCCCACGAAGGACAGAAGAGGCTGTTGGATCCCCTGGAACTGGAGTTACAGACAGTTGTTAGCTGCCATATGGGTGCTGGGATTTGAACCCTGGAACTGGAGTTACAGACAGTTGTTAGCTGCCATGTGGGTGCTGGGATTTGAACCCCGATCTTCCGCAAGAACAGTCAGTGTTCTTACCTGCTGAGCCATCTTTCCAGCCCTCGCTTGTCAATTCTTAATCACATCTTATGCTTTCTGCTCAGAAAGTTCTTACTTATACCTATATCTTGAGTGTTTTTCCTGTTTTTTTTTTTTTTTTCCAGTAGTTTCAAAGTTACATTCATGTCTTTGATAGATTTTTTTTTAATTGATTTTTATTTTTCAGGGTGAGAGATGGATTAGTTCCATTCTTCTACATATAGAAATACAGTTCTCCCATTTGTTAACTAGGCTATCTTTTCTCCAATGTATCTTTTCAACACCTTTGTCAAATATTAGGGGCCCATCTCTCTGTGTGTTTGTTTCTGGATCCTTTATTCTATTCCATTGGTCTATATATCTGTTTTTATGCCAGTACCATGCTGTTTTTGTTACTGTGGCTCTGTAGTGTAAGTTGAGGTCAGGTGTTATGATACCTCTAGTATTGTTCTTTCTATTAAGGATTATTTTGGCTGTTCGGGGCCTTTTGTGCTTCCACATGAACTTAGGGTTTTTTTTCCTAGTTCTGGGAAAAATGTTACTGGAATTTTGGTGGGGGTTGTGTTGAATCTGTAGAGGACTTTTGATAATATAACCATTTTTAAAAGCAAGGAAAAATGAAATCATGACATTTGCAAGAAAATGGGTGGAACTAAAAATCATTATGTTAAGTAAAATAAGCCAAACTCAGAGAGACAAATACCATGTTTTCTCTCATATGTGGAACCTAGATTTAAAATTATATATGTGTGTATGTGTGTGTCTATGTGCATATTTGTGTGTGTGTGTGTGTGTGTGTGTGTATGTAGGTCATGACTCTAGAAAGGGGATTATGAGAGGAGGAAGATATCTTAAGGGAAGGGAAATAGAGAGGATGATAGATACATGGGATTAGAGAGCAGAAGAACCATGTGGGGGAAGAAAGGGAGCCAGCCTGAAGGGAACAGAGAACACAGGGAAGGGTGGTGGGGAAAGAGAATGAATGAGAATGAAATCTTGTGACACATATGTGTAGTGACACATGTATGAAAATGCCACAAAGAAACCCATTACTTTGTATGCCAACCTAAAAAATTAATTTAAAAAGTGCCAGACCCCTTAAAGAAAATAGGGTTTTTCATATCAAAGCTTAGACTTCCCCAGTACATCGGGGAGATGCTGGGGATTACACTCCCTGTGAAGTCCTCACTCCATTCCAAGGGGTCTTGTGTGAGCTCTGGAGGCACTCTGTGATGACTCCCTAAGTTTCCATGCTTGTCCCTGGTATAGGTAAAAGGCACTCAGTTGTGACTATGGACCTAGGAAAAGGCTCTTTGTATCTGAAGACCCCCTCCCCTCCCAGAAGTCTCCTTCCATGTCCCTGTATATGTGTTACATTTCTGGGGATTGTTGACATATGACTCCCCTTCAGGTATCTATGTGGGAAACACAGGTAAATCATAGTGAGTTCTGAATGTCTATTTTCATTTTTACAGTTCACCAGTAATACTTGACTAAATGTGTTAAATGAATGCTTTCAGAGTTATGAAAAGATTCACCTGGACTTCCTGAAAAGTGATCACCCTGCTGTGGCACGCATGCGTGTGGACTCCGACAATGCGTACATTGGTGTCACCTACAAAAATGAAGACGACAAGCTGAAGGACTGGGAGGGTGGCGTGGATGAGCAGAGACTGAGTGCTGACAGTGGCTACATCATCCCTCTGCCAGATATTGACCCTGTTCCAGAGGAGGAAGACCTGGGCAAGAGAAACAGACACAGGTAGCCATGAGCACCTGCCTGCCTTTTCACATGCCAGCCTCAATGCGAAGGCTCATGCTGCTGAAACTGAGGCTGTCCTGGGTATGAACTGTGCTTAGGGAGCAAGGTTTAGAGTTCTCAGGGCAGGGGAAGAGGGGATGCAGTTTCGACTGCCTCCCAGATAATTCTAAGGTATCTCTGCACTCCTGTGAGAGTGCATCTTGGTAGGGAATCTCTGACTTGAGTTCGTAGATCATCTGAGCACTTGCCACTGAGTTGTGATGATTGGTGGGTGATAGAAACCTCTCCTCTATGAGCTTAAACAGTCATGGAGCTGAGAACAAAGTTGAGAGAGGTAGAGTTAGGTCATTTGATGCTACATCAGAGGTCTTTAGCCCTGAATACAATTTGGGATTACCTGAGAGGAGTTTCAAACTACTGATATTCAAGCCTCCCCCTCCTTCCTCTCTCTGCTGTGTGTGAAGCACAGAGCAGCACCCTCACAGGAGGGGAACAAGCCATGCTCCTATCCAGCAGAGGATCATGAATTTAAAGCAAAGCGTACAAGAACAAGGCAGAAAGCAACACAGTGCAGGAGAAGGATGAGACAGCAGTTGCTCAAGAAGGCAGGACAGACAGGAGCTGTGCAGGCTGGGGATGTCACAGGAGAGTATTTGCCCCAAAACGCCTCTGAAAAACAATTCCGTACACAGTAATATCGTGAGACTCTAACTACCACGTAAAGTGACAGTGGTTGATACTTTGTCTCATTTCCTTTATCCAGCTAGGTACATGTGCTAGGTGTCATGTGCATCATAACACCCACCCCACGTATACACACATACACATGAATATGCACATGCATACCCATGTGTACACATGTGCACACACAACGCAATACACACATGCACATACATGAACACACATCGGCATACGCTCATACAAATACGCACATGTACACATATACCTTCCCACATACAGACAATACTCATGCATACGCAGTACATACACATGCACACATGCATACACAGAGTGCACACACATACACAGATATACACACATACACACAGAATTACAAAATTACTCACATACACATGAATACATACATGCACAAACACATGCACACATATGCACACATCTACACATGCATACATACACATATACACATATACACATTCACGTACATATGCACATGCACACACATACATGTACATCTGTACATACATGCATAAGCATATGCACATATATACACACATACACATATATACACATACACACACATACACACCTCTTCTCTCTCACCTGGTCATTTGAAGCTGGGTAGGGAAACACTGAACTACTGTACCCCTGGTACAACAGCTCATATTTTCTAGGAATAAGAACGTTCTCTTGATATGTATCAGGACCACACGTAAGGAAGTTAGAACTGTTAAAGGAAATTAGGGCTGCAGTATACTCACTGATGAATGCATAGCCACTGTGTGAGGCCCTAGGTTCAATCCCCAGTACTGAAAAAAAGAAGAGAAAGAAAAGGAAATAACAATTGTTCCCTGATGCCACCTAATATCCAGGCTTTATTCAAATTCAGATACCAGGTTGAATAACAGTAACTGCTAACATTTATTGAGCCTTTTTATGTGTTTATGGTTACTAGTTATTACTGTATATAATCATCCCAACAGGGATATTATGAGACATTATTGTCAAGCCATTTTATAGGGAAAGAAGTTCAAGTAGAGGAGAACTATGTAACGTGTAGAGTCCACTTCAGACTCAAGGCTTTGTTCTACCTTCGGCTGGGCTTCAGCACTCAGAGGGCATCGGGAATGCCAAGGGGCAAGGGGCGTGGCAGGGAAGTGGGGAAGTGTGGGAACCCAGTGTGCATGCTCAGGAGGCTTTGGGGACAGCATGAGACTAGTTGGCTGCACCTCAGCTGATTTCATTCCTCTGCTTTTCCTTCCTGCCTTTTGATCTGCTGGTTACTTATTTTCTGCTGGACTGAGTAGGGAAAGCAGAAAATGTGACGACTTGTTAGCAACTTCCACAAAAAACTTGGCAAGAGAAAAGGAAAGCAGAGTCATAAAGATGACTGTCTTGGTTTTGTACTGATCCCAGGCAACAGGGGCAAGGAGCAAATGGCTGGTTCAGTGGCAGACTTGCTAGGCCCAGCTGCTTGTTTTTGAATAGGAAAGGAGTGAGTACAATCAACCCCTTAACCTTGGGCAGCCACCCTGCAAATACAGCCTGTATAGTCGATCTGTACAGATGTGACCTTACCTTTGCTTTTTCAACTCCCACCAGCTCCCAGACCTCTGAAGAGAGTGCCATTGAGACAGGTTCCAGCAGTTCCACCTTCATCAAGAGAGAGGACGAGACCATTGAGGACATTGACATGATGGATGACATTGGCATAGACTCCTCAGACCTGGTGGAGGACAGCTTCCTGTAACTGGCAGATTCTGGGGTACCTTCCACTCCTTGGGATCCCTTTCAGAAAACCACTTCGTTGCAATGCACAGGTTGAGAGGAGGACTTGGGTGATGTGTAAGGAGAAGTTCCCAGCCAAGGGCCTCAGGGAGCCTCTAACTATGAATGAATGGGATACTTGGAATGAACTTTGTCCGTGTTGCCTCTTGCAATGCGTCAGTAGCATCTCAGCGGTCTGTGAAGCTTGGAAACGGATGGACAAGGGAAATGACAGGCCACAGAAGATGATCTTTGTGTTTCAAGGGCATTGGTGAGATTCCCTTGCACGCAATTTGTACTGCAAGACAACTCCAGCATTGTAATTATGTAAATAACTCTAACCAAGGATGTGTTTAGATTTGTGTTAACTCTCCTCTCTGGACTTCTGAAGAGACCACTCGATCCTTTCATGGACTTTCTTCTTGAAACCCGGTGTCGGCTGCTGTTGAACTCTCTTATGAAGTGCATGCAAAACCACTTTGAACCTTAAAAGGTACTGGTACTATCACATTTGACTGTTTTGTTAGTGCTAAAGAGGCAAAAGATAACAAGTAACCAACCTTGTATAATAGACTTGGGTCTTTTAGAAACCCAACAACTCCTTTTTTATAACATAATCTACATTTATAATAATACTACTGTTATCAGTAATGCTAAATATGTAACACATAACATGATTACCCTACAGAGAAAGCACAATTTAAAAAAACCCTTACTAAGTAGGTAACAAGTTTGACAGTTTTTGACACTTATATTAAATAACATGTTTCTCAATAAAATATAATAGCTTTAGTGGAGTAAAGTTAGTAAACATAGAAAGAAAAGTATAGGTAGTGTTGTCCAAAAGTCAAAGTTTTTGATTGTGTGTACTAAATAGGTTCCCTACTCCAAGGTACTAAAAGCAGTTAATGATCTCTGAAGTAATGGAATTAGAAGTAAGCCAGCAAAACCCCCAGATCCTCAATGTTCTCAGTGTAAAGGCATAAGCCTGCACCCAATGTGACTTTTTATACCTGCCGTGACCTCATAGAAATGAACAGTCCACAAAAAGACTCGGATGGGCAAGGGTTTCTTTCATGACCAGTGATAACTTTGGTGGATCCCACCATACATATATGTTTTTAACAAACTATGAACTCCCTCTCTTGTCCTAAAGAGAAAGAGTTGGAAGCCCTGAGATCTCCATGGTGCTGTTGAATGAAGGCTGTGTGGGGGCATTAACCCACCTCTTTAGTTCCCACCATTAATTGCCAACTACAGTCACAACTTCTGGCTCTCTGTTCCAGAAACACAGAAATTTTGGATCTGAAGGGAGCAGGAACCTATATTTTAATAAACTCTTTGGCTCTTCTGCTCAGCCAATTTTCAGAAACACTGGCTTGGGTTACAGAAGGTTGCCGTGGGTGGGGTGAGAGAAAGATTGAAATTTGGAACTAGGCTAGAAGTCAGCCTACTATTTAAGTCCTTGGCTTCAGGTCAGTGACATTTAATGCCATGTCTCTAGCAACTGCCACCTTTAATTTAAGTTTCCAGTCTTAGCTGAGGCTGAGAAAGCAAAATCTTGGTTTTGGCCCATCTTCCTCTTCAAGACAAGGCAGACACTGCTCCCCACCGCACTGGGGAACTGAGCTTGTTCTCTCCAAAACCATGTGCAAAAATGATGCAACTCCACGTGCCAAGTCTCTGTATAGCCAGGTCAATATTTGGTGCAGAAGATTAAAAAGTTTTCCTGACTTTTTGGGTTTAGGTGGGAGAATGACATATCCATCCAAGCTATCAAACTGGTTAGTGTGAGTTCATTGGCATTCTTTGCAATGTGCCTAATTGCTGACACTGTATGAATGAAACATGGGCTGTGATTACTGCAATCACTGTATGTGCTTCCAGCAGGTGATGCTTTGGAAGACACAGAAGCAATAACAAGGTACTTGACTACCTACTGGTGTAAATCTCAATGCAAGCCCCAACTCCCCTTTTTCATAGTAAGTGTGAAGACTGAGCCAGATTGGCCAATTAAAATATGAAAACCTGACTAGATTCTGTAGAGCCAATTAGACTTGAAATACATTTGTGTTTCCAGAATCTCAGCTCAAGCATTCTGTTTATTGCTTGTTCTCCCTTCTACAGCCTAATTTTTGTTGAGGCTTTGCATTTTGATGTTGCTTTGGGCCTCCATGACATCATGAGGCTTCTCAGACCAGCAGTTTCCAGTTCTGAGCAATGCTTTCACCAGAGATTAAATGAAACTACATTATTATTTTTTTAAACAGTATGTTGAGTGTATCCCAGATTCACTTCTGTTTTGACCTGCGGAGTCCCCAGAAGAAAATGCATCAATCTTTTCTACTTTCCGCTTTTCTGATGACAATCAAAGCTGGCCTAGGAAACACAATTTGTGACGTTTTCAATGATCAATGATATCCTTAAAATGTGGTCTGCCAACCTGTACAAAATGGTCCTATTTTTGTGAAGAGGGACGTAAGATAAAATGATGTTATACATCAATATGTATATATGTGTTTCTATATAGACTTGGAGAATATTGCCAAAACATTTATGACAAGCTGTATCACTGCCTTTGTTTATATTTTTTTTAACTGTGATATTCCCCACAGGCACATTAACTGTTGCACTTTTGAATGCCCAAAATTTATATTTTAGAAGTAATAAAGAGAAAAATACTGACATGTTCCCAAAATGGTGGTGTGGTGAATGTGTGTGACAAGATCTAACTCAGTAAGAAGGGTTTGCGAACACAAGATGTATTACAGATGTCCCTGTTCATGGTTTTGTTTTAAAAAGTGTAAATGAAGATCTTTATATTTCAATAAATGATATATTATATATAAGTTAAAGTTATGTTGAGGTTCTAGATTTTATTTTTAGGTTAGGTAGAATCCTGCTCAACTTTCTGTCTAAGCAATAGTTGAGTAGGACGTTACTGTGTTGTCATTTGAGACAGGGTCTTGTTATATAGCCTATGCTGATCTTGACTTCTGTGATCCTCCTACCTCAATACCCTGAGTGCTGGTATTATAGGCATGTACCACCATGACCTTTTTTTTTTTCCTGAATGGATTATTTGGTAAAGCCATTTTAGGTTTAAAGGACAATTAAGTGGAAGCTAGAGATCTCCCATATGTCTCTTGGCCTCACACATGTACAAGCCTCCCTGTCTCCAGTGGAACCTATCAGAATGTACATTTGTTACAACGGTGGATTTGTTTCCATATATCATCACCCATAGTCTATAGTGCTTCTTCCTTTTTGATGGTTTGTTTAGAGCCCTCAGTGAGAGGCATATGTGATTTTCTTTTCTTTTTTTGTCTTTTTGAGACAGGGTCTCCCTGTAGCCCCTGGAACTCACTATGTAGACCAGGTTGGCCTTGAACTCACAGAGATTTGCCCGCCTCTACCTCCTGAGTGCTGGGATTAAAGGCGTGCACCACCACACCCGGCATAAAGTGATTTTTATTATTAAAGAGTTTGAGGGCTGGAGAGATGGTTCGGCGGTTAAGAGCACTGACTCTTCTTGCAAATGACCCAGGTTTAATTCCCAGCACTCACATGGTGGCTAAGAACTGCCTTCAACTCCAGTTCCAGGGGAATCCGACTCCCTCTTCTGACCTCTCTGGCACTGCATGACACAGGTGTACTCACATCCAGGCAATACACTCGTACACATAAAATAGAAATAAGTATTATGAAAAGAAAGTAAGAAAGAGTACATGAAGTTATCAGATAAAAGTGATGGGGAGATATGGGAGGAGTTGGACGGGAGGGAGTGGGCGTGGATTTGATAAAACACCTTATACACATGTATATAGCATATATATAGTATATTAAACTCCATTTAAATGCTCTATAATATATATTTATATATGGTTTATAGCTTATATATATATACAGTTTAAATAGGTTTATACCACATGGAGGTGATAATGCTCTCCCAAAGAGTCATACACTATCAACAACAATTTCAAGTTGCTGATCAGGGAGGTATCTAAGAGACACTCAGATTTCTTTAAAAAAGAAAAATATGATTTAAAGAGCAGGTGCTGGGCTGGAGCAATGGTTCAGCAGTTAAGAGCACCAGCTGCACTTGGAGAGGACCTGGGTTCAATTCCAAGCATCCACACAATGGCTAACAACCATACTAACTCCAATTCCAGGGGATCCAATGCCTTCTGACTTCTGTGAGCGTCACTGGTGCAGTTACATGCAAGCAATATGCTCATATACATAAAATAACAATAATAAAATATTGAAAAAGAGCAGGTGTCATACATATATATACATATATATATATTATATACATGCCTATGGAGTCTAATTTGTGTTTCCAGATGTCCTCCAATGTGGGTCCATCCACTGGAGCCTAGTTAACCTACCAAGAGTCCCACGCTTGAAAGAGACTGTCTCTGCCCCATCTAGTAGCCATCTGTTGCCAGTTTCCTTAGGTTGGGTTGGACCTTCTTACTTGCCTCCTCATGTCTATGCTGGGATTTTCTTTTTTTGGTTTGAGCTTGCATAGTACTTGTGCATGCTCTTATCATTGCTATGAGTTCATATGAGTAGCTTCCCAGCTGTCTGGAAAACTCTTGTTTTCTTATGGTCATCCACCGCCTTACAATCTTTCTGCCCCCTCTTCCACAATGATCCCTGAGACCTGGGAGGCAGAAGTTTGATATAGGTTTCCTATTCAGAGATAGGCACTCTGCAGCTTTTTGTTCTCTGCACATTGGTCAGTTGTGGGGTTCTGTGTTAATCACCATTTGTTGCATAAGGAAACTTCTCTGGTGAGAGTTGTGATGCATTAATCTTGCCAAAACTGGAGGTGTTGTGCAGATCCAGGATGGAATAGACTCCCCTTGACCCATGGAAGTCTAGTACTAAGATCACAGGACGCTAGGAAGTCTCAAGGACAGAGCTTCAAGCCACAAGTCTGTGGTGGGAAAGGATCACAAGGACCCAGGCTGGGCCGGAAGCTGAGCTGGCAGGGAATGACTCACTGTGCCAAAACTGGATGTATGCACTGGGATGGTGGGGCTCATGGAGTCTCAGGGATGGGACTCCAAACCTCTTTTGATTCTTAAAAACAGGCTTTAAAAAAAAACACTACAATGGACTGGAGAGATGGCTCAGTGGTTATAAACACTGGCTGCTCTTACAGAGGACCCAGGTTTGGTTCCCAGCACTGACATGGTGGATAACAACCATCTATAACGTTAGCTCCAGGAGATCTGTCACCCTCTTCTGGCCTCTGCAGGCATTGCATGCATGTGGTATACTTAACATACATGCAGGCAAAACACTCATACACATAAGATAAAAATAAACACGTTTAAAAAAAAAACAACCCTACAACAGCAGGGAAAATATTTCATAGATGAGGAAACCAAGATACCATAAGATAAATGGATTTTCCTTTTTTCTTTTTTCTTTGTGTTTTTTTTTTTTTTCCCCTGTCTTTTTGAGACAGGTTCTCCCTGTAGCTCCAGCAGGCCTGGAACTCGCTATATAGACCAGGCTGGCCTTGAACTCACAGAAATCCTCCTGCCTCTGCCTCCCTAATGCTGAGACTAAAGGCGTGTGCCACCATGCCCGGCTGATAAATGGCTTTTCTAAAAGTCATATAAACTGAGTCACATAGACCCCCCTGTCATTTGCATGAGAACAAACCAAGGTAAAAAGCAAGAGATGCTGGGAGGGGTAGTGTATAGAAACAGCCTTGATTTTTTTTGGATATTTTCAAAGACAACTAATGGACAAGTTCAGCCTGAAGAACTATTCTACATGTTTGTAAACAGAACAATTGCTTCTCAGGCTGTAACACAACAGTTCTAATAATGGACATCATAATTTTAATAATAGTGCACGTCATGGAAAGCAACTCAGGCAAATGACCTACAATATCTGAATCCACTATAAAGTAGGCAACTTTCCTCAGGATAACAGTGACAGAAATAGTTCATTATCTCTAACTCCAAATACATGTAAGGGCTAGATTTAACAAACAGTACTGTAGTAGCAAAATTAATATACTGTGCTTAAAACAGATACACTTTTAACCCTCACATTAAAATATATATGTATGTGGTATTAATTAGCACATTCTGGTTACCTAAGTAGCACCAGTGTCCTAAAGAATAATGAATATAATTTCCAAAATGGTAATGTTTCCATCACCCACATTTTAGTTTACATTTAAAGCGACGGAGACATTGAGGACACATGGTCTCACATGGCAGGGGGACATATTTACCCCCCTTATTCTGGTTTATAGGCTAATTGGAATTTTAAAAAGATTTACCACATTAGCCTGGCAGATGGTATTTTGCTTTATCATTATTCATGGGTATTAATGACTTCCCTCTGGAGTGTGTGTATACTGTCTATTTTGAATTTCATTACATTTCATGCTGACTTCTCCAAAAAGAATCGGATCCAGGCTTTTCTGTGTGGTGTTTGAGCTGTAGATCGGTTGGTCCATCACAATTTGAGGCTTGATTAGGATGAAGTATCGCTTTGAAATGAAAGGAACCTTTTCTGTCTCTTGCTGGCTATTTCTGTCATACTTCTTGTTTCGTTTGGCTGGCCATCCCACCCCGTTTGAGACTGCTACTAGCTAGGATCAGGTGTATTGAAAGCTGTTTCCAGAGCGGATGCATCTTTCATTAGCCCGAGATGATTATGCATCCTTTCTTTCTCCCTAGAAAGGCTGAGTTTGGTTTCCTAAATGAAGAAAATGCACAAGATCATAATGCAATGAGCCAGCTACAGAAAGTCTTTTTTTTTTTTTTTTTTTTTTTTTTTTTTTTTTTTTTTTGTCTTTTTGAAGCAGGCTCTCCCTGTAGCCCCAGCTGTCCTGGAACTCACTACGTAGACCAAGCTGGCCTTGAACTCACAGAGATCCGCCTGCTTCTGCCTCCCAAGTGCTGGGACTACTGGCGTGCGCCACCACACCTGGCCAGAAAGTCATTTTTAAAATTAATTCCACCCACAAATATTTATTATAGAACAGGTTCCTTTGTGGAGTGGATCTCTCAAAATGCTTAAAGCCTAAACGAGACAGCTGGCAGACTTCATTCCAATGAACTCATGACCTGAGGGGACCATTATACCACAGATCAGAACAGGGAAGAGCAGAAAATTGTGCTTGGAGGCCACAGGCCTTCCACAGACCAATGAGAAGCCCAAGAGTCGAACATGGAGTGCAGCTCACTAAAAGCTTCTAGGCAGGGTGTTGAAGGCTGGGGTTGGAGCAGCCTTGCCTCCTCCGGTCTGGTCCTTGCTGTGATTCTAGATACTTCCATGGTCACTCTCTCCTTCCAAACTTTTATTCCTCTGTTGTTCAACCTTATTGAGCTAGGCACTGGCTTAGACCATGGGATTCAGCAGTTGTTACAAAAGACAAGACCGCTGCATCATGTCAATAGCATCTCTCCACAAGACAGGATCGATCTGTTTGAAGTAAAAAGACAATGTCTCCCTCATGGACAAAAGCTGGCAGGTTTGCTTGCGTTCTCTCTTCTCTCTCTCTCTCTCTCTCTCTCTCTCTCTCTCTCTCTCTCTCTCTCTCATTTTTTCCTCCCTCCCTCCCTCCCTCCCTTCCTGAGACAGGATCTCATGTAGTTCAGGGTAACCTAGAACTCATTGTATAGACCAGGCTAGCATCAAACTAACAAAGAGCCACTTACCTCTGCTTCCTGAGTGCTGGGATTAAAGGTGTGAGCCACCATGCCTGGTTTCTTTTTAATTTTTAAAAAGATTTATTTTTATTTTT